GGGGAAGCACCGGAGCAAACGCAAGCCCAGCTGGGAGATCTGTCCCCTGAAATGGGAAAAGCCACCTCTCCTGTTGATGCTCCGGGCCAAAGCCCTGCAGATCTCACGGCTGCTTAGCACATGAGCAATCGCAGGCAGACAAAAAAGCATAATCAGCTTCTCCCAAGCCCAAAACAAGTGCTGTGCCAAGGGTTGCTCTGTCTCTTTACTCCCAAGCCTGGCTGGCCCCAAGCAGCCCTTGGCTGGGGACGTGGGAAGGGTGTCCACAGAGCGACCCATGGGTGCTGGCAAGCAAAGGTGGGTCCCTCCATGGGGAGGAGGGAGGAGCAGGGCCCTCAGCGATGGCAACACCCAGGGGAGCAGGCTCCAGCTGCCACTGTGCTTGGCAGCACTAGTCAGCGACAGGCTATAAATACCTCTGATGGCAGATAGAAACACAAAAGGCGTCTCCACTTTCCTCAAATAGCTCGGCAGCCAAGCCAGACAAAGGCACATTGACAGGGCAGCCATGGCGTACCAGCTGGGCTGGGCTCCACTGGCAGAAAGAAAACTTGCTCAGGGTTGGGAGCCCTCAGAAAACCTGCCCTCAGGCCAGGGCATTGCAGCAGTGGGGTCTCCAGCACATAGCAGGGCTGCACTCAGTGGGTGCCCACCCACTCCATTCTCCCTTGGTCTGGGGGAGGGGTATAAATACCCAAAGGATACAAACCTTTGGGTAAAAACAAGCTGTTGGAGGTCTGAGTTTCAGCACAGTCCATAGCTGGGGTGCAAAGCAGAAACCTGCCCTCAGGCCAGGGCATTGCAGCAGTGGGGTCTCCAGCACATAGCAGGGCTGCACTCAGTGGGTGCCCACCCACTCCATTCTCCCTTGGTCTGGGGGAGGGGTATAAATACCCAAAGGATACAAACCTTTGGGTAAAAACAAGCTGTTGGAGGTCTGAGTTTCAGCACAGTCCATAGCTGGGGTGCAAAGCAGCAATCACAGAGGCTGTTTTCCAGCTCCTCTTCCTTTGCACATTCAACACGAGAAATCGTTTTTCAGGGCTGGCAGGGCACATGCCTGGAGTGATCATGTCCTTGTGCTGGCACATCTAGAAATGCAGGCAGGAGAAGAGTGGAAGACAGGGCTGTCAAGGGACCAGGAAATAAGGAGTTACAGGAGCCGTGCCCCATAGCAGCCCTTGTAGAACTGCATTGTCACGTAGCAACACTTCACACTCCAAGAGCACAACAGGTTTGGCTCTGCTCACTTCTACTTCAGGATCAAAGTTGGTCCTGGTCAGGTGGAAGCACGACATCAGCCAGAGAGAAGTCCCCTGGGTTTACCCCAGCAGGGTAGGAGTGGTACTGTGGGTAAGTGTGCGACCAGATGGAGGCAGGAGGGCTGGGGAGGCTGGAGGGGAAAGAGCCACTCACCTGTGCCAGGAAGAAAGGCTGGGGATGGGAGAGGAGAGAGCTGGATGGATCATGCGTGGCAGTGCTGGA